CAGTTGGAGTATCATTCTATCATATATTCGATAATACAGATTGTATGAATGCTGCGAATGCCTTCTACTCTCCTTGGAGAACAACCTAGATCTATTCTGGGTGCACATGGTCAGGCGACCTTACTGTAGCTGCAGTAAAGACTCCATAGACGCCCAGGATATCGACGAAGCATTCATCATCCATACCTATTGGATGTAGGAATTAGATTTCAGTTAGAGACAACAGAAGGTCTCTTCTGGTTAAAGAGGGAATTCTTAGTAAAATGGGAGTTATTAATACAGTTAGACGTCTACTACTAGCAGGTGTAGTTCTACAACCTAACGAAGGTACGTAATAGAAAGCATTTTAGTACCCCAATTTTAATCCAGGAAACCTCAGGTGGCTCCTTTAGGCAAACTAATTTGAACCCTGAACAGTAGTTCTAAAGACGACTAGATATATATCCAGCTTTTCTAAACTAGCACTCGTCCACTTCGATGTACGTAGAGCTCCAACACCATAAGACCGAAGCTCCTCAAGGTATAGTAACGAGACAGAATCTGGGTAAAAAGAACATATATAGTTTATTCCTTTGATAAAACCAGATTTAACTATGAACATTCAAGATGCCTCGAGGGCTCGCTGTTGGGGAGTCAAGTGAAATATTCCGCCATAAGCGCCCTCAAAGTTTGGGCTCCAGCGGGCTCCGAAGCCTCGCCACGCGCCAGCTCGGTCATCCCAGCGACTCTCACGATCACTAGAAATCAGGTTTTCGACTACCTAGGTACAGTAGCTGCACAGACTGTTCAATTTTGATCGCTTCAGTTGTCAATACAAGATTCAATGCTTTCCAAGCTATAGACTATACCGTGCGACGCAGTAAAACTACATACCACGTTCTATTCGTAGTGAGATGGCAGGTCGCAGAATGCCTAAGAGCATGTCGTGGTCACAGCGCTAATATGCCGATGCTATAGACTGGCTGGACTGGCCTGTTATCCTTGATCTAATGGTAATCCATTTCTTGTAGAGTTTCTTGTAGAGATGGAGTATGTCGTAGATATATATCTGTACCATCCACAGTCACCACTTTGCAACACAACTAGTTGTACATTGGACTACTATTATGATAAATATACAGCAGTGTCCTCATAGGATGCTATAATAATCACATTTCACAGTAGACAAAAGTACACTGACAATAGATAACCCCGCAGTTAGTCATCAGCCCCCCAGGATAAGCTTAAAGCCAAACCAACCACTCCCCAGAACCCCCACCGCAACAATGGCCATCACTTGCCGACTCCGACCGTTGTCCCCTTCCCTACCGCGCCACAGGTAGCTCCCAGCTCCCAGCTCCAGCTCCTCCTCCCCTCAGCGCAGCTCAGCGATGCCCCCCACAAAAGCCTACATCCTCGTCTACGAAGGCACCCCGCTCGACTTCTCCGAATACCGCCACACCGCCCTCCACTTCGCCTTCGCCGGCGCCCCCTCCTCCACCACCATGCACGTCGTCGGCACCCAGGGCCTCTTCGAATTCCAGGAAGACGTCGACCAGGACCCCCGCGACGGCGGCGATCTCGCCCGCATGATCCCCGTCGGCGACATCCCCGGCTCCGTCAGCGCCGCCGCCATCAAGAAGACCGTCTCCGCGACGCCGGTCCGCAACGGCCGCGCCGATCTCGATTGGAATTGTCAGAATTGGGTGGGCGATGCGCTGGCGCAGATGGTCGAGTCTGGGTTCTTTACGGAGGCTCAGCGCGCGGTCGCGATTGATCTCATGTTAGATGTGTGTCTGGAGGCGAAGGATGGTTGAGTCGATGGGTTTTTGTTGTGTCTGGTTTGTCGGATCGCTTTTGCGGTCGGTGTGCTACGCTGGCCGGCGCTGGCGCTGGCGCTGTGTGCGGGGTTGTCGCCCGCTCCCTGGAGTACCTTGATATCTGCCTGGCTCCGCGTATGCTAGGCACCTTACTCCAGGCTTGTCGCTGACGCGTCACTGGCTATGAGGCCTAACATAGGCTTGGCTTGCGTGCGGTAGGCGGGTCCGTCCGCCGGGAACTAGCAGAGCGTCCTGCTCAAGCAGCAGTGGACTGCGTATTAGTGGCTGCGTGGCCTAACCATGCATGGCCCAAGCCTACCCGTACTACGTACTACTACAGAAGTCAATCAAGTACATATGTCTTGTCTAATATCACAACAGCATACCTATACCTATGCCTATTCTACTCGAACAGAACAGCGTGTCTAAGAACACATCTAAAACTTAAACACCTGCTCCTGGCTGTAACCCAGCTCCTTCAGGATACCAGTGAGCTCGCCCTGGTCCTTGGGGCTGACCTTGTTGCCGCTGATAGCCTTGTACAAGCCGGGGGGCCCGCAGACAAAGATCTTGATGTTCTCCTCCTTGGGCTCGGGCAGGACAGTCTTCAGCAGCTCCTTGGAGATGTAGCCCTTGCCGCCGGTCCACTCCTTGGGCGGGTTGTCCAGCACGTAGAAGGCCTTGAAGCGCTGCGGGTAGGTGTTCTCCAGCTCCTCGAGCTCCTTCTTCAGCAGGATGTCCTGCTCGCTGACGTTGCCGTACACCAGCGTCACCTTGGTCTTGTCCTCGGGGTTCTTGAAGATGTGCCGCGCGAGCTGGTACATCGGCGTGATGCCCGTGCCACCCGCGATCAGGCAGATGTGCTGGTGCTTGTTCGCCTCCCACGGGTACTTGGGCAGCGGGCCCTTGAACTCGAGCCGCTGGTCCACGTTCATGCTGTGCAGGTGCTCCGACATGGGGCCGTTCGGGTACACCTTCACCACGAGGTCGAGGAAGCCGGGTTGAGCTATAGAGTGAGTTATTCGTCCGGTCTTCTGACGCTAGGGGTTGGGGACTTACACTCGTCGCTGACGGGGGTGTAGGGACGCAGAACGGCCTTGCCGCCCTCAGGCTTGAACTTGGTCAGAAGCGCGGCTGCAGACAGTGAGAAGACGTTCAATCGGACTAAGGCAGTCAGAGCGAATCCTACAGGCAACATTGAGACCCGAGACAGCCTCCTTATCCTCAAACTCGAAGCGGAATCTCTTAGTGTTGTGGTTGAGGACCTCGATTTCCGACAGCTTCAGGTCCACCCATCCCTGGTCACCACCAGTGAAGACCTTGGCGCGCTCAGCGGGCGCCTCAGCGGTCGCGGAGTTGTACCGGTACAGTCCGACACCAAGGCCGGCAAGACCGACAGTCAGGTAGACGGGGGCCAGGGACTTGCCCTTGGGCGCCTCGGTGGAGTATTTACGGAAGCTCTGGACAGGCGTCAGGATTGAATGGGAGTAAAAAATTACCCAGACGTGCTGCTTACCTGCTTCAGGGGCTGAGCGTAGCGGAAAGTCTGACGGGCGAACATTTTGTCGAAGGTTGAACACAGAAAGGAGGTTCAATAGGGATGCTGGGGAGATGTCAGATCGATGGAGGACGGAATTGCTCGCAGGTCGGAAGCTCTCGCTCTCGGCGGTGCGCACTCCGAGGGCCGATGACAAATGACGCAATGCCTACCTATTACTAACACGCGATCAAGTCGTGCTAGTTCTTGAGATCAGGTAAAATACGTAGTAGTGCTCAATATATTAGGCAGTATTCAAACAGGTATCTTAGAGATTCTACATACGGAATTGCATGTTGTATAGTCTGTCCATGGTCGAACTCGAGGTAACTTCAAGGTTGACGGGACTGCAATGTTTTCCCACATTTCCGACGATGATTAGAAATATATCCGATCACTGGGATCTTCGGAAATCCAATTGACAATTGAGCGTCAATGAATATACAAAATGTCAAAATGCCTCCACGCATAGCGGGTCTGGACCTAAGGCTGCGATGGGCACACTAGACGATCTTACGATACGGAAGTCTGTACAATATGAAACAAACCTCAATTTTTGTGATAACTTGAAAGGGTCGCTGCACAGGACTAAAGAGACATCAAAACCATCCATCCCATTATCTGGGTTGTAGATACACGCCGTGTTCTCCGCGTGATCCGTGTCCTTCATGCATGCTATGGCCATAACATAGTCATTCATCCACACACTCCGATCCCCCAAACCCAAAACCTCACATTTACGCAAAGGTGGAGGGCCGCGAGTAGGCGAAGAGCTTCTTGCTCTTGGCGGCACGGTGGGGCAGAGGGAACTTGAGGTCCTTCTGGAGGAGCTGCTTGATGTAGGGGCGGCGGATGGTGTCGGCGTTGTCGATCTCGACGACCTTGAGGATCTGCACAGAGTGTTAGACTTGCCGTCAGTTCGTCGGCGGGAGACACATACGTGGATGGAGCCGAAGCGGGCACGGTGGCGGGCAGCCATGTCCTGGTAGAGAGCCTCAACGGCCTCGGTACGGCTCATCTCACGGAACTCCTTGTACATGTTGTGGGTACCAGAGCGAGAGTCGTAACGGATCCAGATACCGAAGTTCTTGACCTTGAGGGGACGCTTCTCGCTGATCTGCACATCGCATCAGTATCTAGTCACCCCGTCCATCGTGGATCCGAGCGGGTACATACCACGTTGATGCTGACGATCTCACCGTTGGCCTTCTTGACCTTACGGAGCTGGGTCAGGAAGTACCAGAACCGGGACTTGGCGACGACGGCATTGGGCGCGAAGATGCGCATGCGGTACAGCTTGGGCGTGGGGTTGGCCTCGGTGGGCAGATGACGCCCGATGACCTGGTACTCGGTGAGACGCCCTGAAACCAGTCAGTACGGTCCATTGAATGGTGTTGCAGTGCAGGAAGCCAGTAGAGTCCGATTCGGTGCGCTGAGTTCCGTGCGAACGTTGTGGTGGTAAGGACGAATTGTCGTAGTGTTGGATAAATCTTTTCGATATGCGACCGCACTTCATTCAAAATTCCAATTCCCCCAGCATTCCTCCCTAGGTCCAACATCCTTCTGCGTAGGCCGTCTCATTCGAATTTCCATTCGTCTCGTCAAGGAAGTGCTCGTAGTTTGTCGCTCTCAACGTTCGCAGGGAAAACAGGCAACCGATCGGCTAAGGGGCGCACTGAAAAAAGTGGAATAATCCAACTTACCCATCTGGAAAAATAAATGTTAGTATAAAATTGGTCCAACAGAGTGATATGAAGGGTTTCGAGGGTCGCACTCACTTTTGTCGACGGTGATGTGGTTGATCGCGAGAGAGGTGTGCCGGTTGGGTCTCGTCGCGAAAATGAAGATTTGTGAACTTGGTGAGTTAGGGCTGTCGCCCTTCGCCTAAGCGACCGGAGGCTTGGCACTGCGCCATTCCCGATCCGGGTGTTGCTATCAGCCACGCTGTGGCTCAGCCGGGGCGGTGGGGAACATCGTCGATGAGGTAAGCTCTACTGGCTGCCGCTTCATTGACCTGCATACAAACGCCCTCCAACTCACCTCATTCCGCGCGCACTCCTCCATGGCTTCTGTCTTTGATGACTTTGCGAAGGGCCAGAAAACTGGTTCTGGTCCGACCCTTGCGGCCGCCCTCACTCCGATCGCTCCCCCCGACTACCCGAGTCGCCTGTTCTCGTTCTACCGCTTCTCCAACGCCGCTCACGTCTCCTCCGACCTCCGCTATTCGCTCTTTCAAGCCAATGGCGTGAAGCTACCGAAACAAGAGCAGAATGCCTGGATTGACATCTTTACTGCTTATTGGAAGGCAGTGTCGGAGATCGTCACGTTTGATCTGTCACCTTCCGATGCGAGCTGGGCCAAAGTCTTTGACGCTTGGAAGGAATTGACCAACGTGCTGGTAAGGGGATACACGAACGGTGGACTTCAAGCATGGACGATCCCGTGTTTGTACGTTGTCGGGAAGTACCTGCGCACGTTTGCGATCCGAGCCGATGCGGAACTCGCCTCTCTGGGCTCTGTCGCCTCAAATCAATTCCAGGATGATATAGCGTCGGAGTTTGAAAAGAGTGCGAAATTGGAGGAAGCTGCTCGTGTCATGAACCGGATGTTCACGTTGTGTCTTACCGACAGGTGAGTGGCTATGGCACGAGGTAGTTGTCCTTACTCACGACTGGTCAGAGCACCGATCGAAGAATCGCGAAAGTGGGGCGTATACAACATGACGAACTTGTTGTTCAAAACATACTTCAAGGTATGAACGACGAGAGGCTAAATATGGGGAATAAAGCTAATCCAACGAATAGCTTAATTCCGTTGGACTCTCGAAGAACTTGCTTCGCGCTCTCGAAGCTTCGTCCGCGGACCTTCCGGAAATGGAGGCCTTTCATAAATCCCAAATCGTCACTTTCAAATACTACGTCGGAGTTATTCATTTCCTAGATGAAAACTACGTCGAGGTATGCATAGCCCATTCTGGTTTGCGGTGGGCGAAGCTGATATTGGATAGGCGGAAGAACATCTAGCATACGCATGGCGCATGTGTCACAGACATGCAACCAAGAACAGAGAGTAAGGATTACCGAATGCCGGTATTACTCATCCAGCTCACCAGTGCCAGGTTGATCCTCACATATCTTGTGCCCTGTCACCTCGTCACAACACATACATTGCCAAGCAAGAAGCTCCTCGCACAGTTCCCTCGTCTCGAGAGGCTGTTCCGACCACTTTGTACCTGCGTCAGAAAAGGAGATCTGGTTGGGTATGATGCCGCCATGGCTGCTGGGGAGGAAGAGTTTGTCAAGCGACGGATCTACCTTCCCTTGGAGAGAGGCCGCGACATCGCCCTGCGGAATCTGTTCCGGAAGGTATTCATTGCGGGCGGGTTCGAGGAGTCCAAAGATGGCCAACCTCCCATTCGGCGGACTCGAGTGCCTATTTCCGAATTTGCAGCAGCCCTACGAATTGGCATGCATACAAGTTCTCGATCTCGGATTGATATCGACGAAGTCGAGTGTTTGCTGGCGAATCTCATCTATAAGGTAGGTTTGGGCCGTTCTATGTCTTATGCACTGTACGAACTAATGGTATATAGGGGCTCATGAAAGGGTATATTGCTCGTGAACGTGGTATGGTTGTCCTTAGTAAAGGGGGCGCCTTTCCAGGGACGGGTGTCTAGTCACTCTACTTCTGCCGTGTGGGGTTTATTTTGACTCGCGAATCTATGACATAGGTGGTTCGGGAGAAGACATGGCTCGGAAGCTAGCGAGCGCAACTTTTGCGTATAGCGAGACCTATGCGTCACTACGCGCATCTAGCCTATGTGGACGCACATGTTAGACTTCCTCGGCCGTGGATGGAGGCGACGGGCATATATGATACCAATAATTTTATGCATTGAGCAGGACTCGTTGCAATTGGCAGTCCGTGATACGACATCTGATGTTACAGAGCCCTCCAACACGAGACATAGACACTCTCATAACAATGAATGACGACTCTACCTGGTTATACAGATATGATTGCCGGTACATGGAGGCACTGAGTAGAGGTAGAAGAACACGACCGACTTAGTTGAGACAGTAATACCCTGTGACATTACGGGGCGTGTGAAAGACATGATTGGTATAGTACAGGAAGAACAACTTGGAAGACAACTGATAACAGGCTGAACACAAAATACACAAAGAAACACCGAATCCAGCCAGCGGATCGACTCAACAACGAAAAGACGGCTTAGTATTGGCCGCAAGATCATCCTATCTCAGTTAGCAGCGCACATAAAGACGCCTATGGAGTATGAACATACCATATGATTACACATAGCGACAAACAGATCAAAAAACAGCTTCCCTCCCTGTTCCATCTCCATCTGCATGGTGCCGCTGCGCTTAAACGTCGACCGACTGCGAATGATGAGGGCAAGATAATGCGCACGCAGCTTCGACTCGGTGTCGGGTGTATTCGCGTAGGCATATCTCGCACTAGTCAGGATTGTACTGCACTGGATGCCGGTGTGGAGGCCCTGTTTGCGCAGGGCGAGTCGTTTAAGAATCTCCAGGCCGTACTTGTCGGCCGCGCAGCTTTATCTATCAGTCAGCCATATGCTCCTCATACCGAGGGTGATTCGATAGCAACGGACGAACATACTATACAGCAGTGTCCCTGAGAATCTCCGCACCAGCGCCGCGGTGGAAGATAGTCGCCCCATAACTCTGCCCGTCCTTGTCTGTGCCGGCGTCTTCGAGCTCCCAGGTGTTCAGGCGGCGGTTGCGCAGGAGACGTGGGTGGTAGTCGCCCTTGTAGAGGTACTCGAGGATGCAGGAGAGCACCTCTGGCTGTTCGTCGGGGAGGTCGATCTGGCGACTGGGCGAGTCGGAGGGGTCTGCGGCGGTGGCGGCGCAGGCTGAGGCAAAGAACGGGGCGACGCAGAGAATGTCCTTGTGGGCGGCGAAGAGGCGTTTCTCAGGGCCGACGGTGATGGTTATCACGGCGGGGGTGGGTGCGCTGGATGTACTGGGTTTGGGTCAATTTGCTGATGTTGATGAAGGTGTAGGGTGGGGTGCTTACTCGCTCTCCGGGGGATTGCGTGTGAGGTGTTGTCGCTCGGTGCGTCGGGAAATGGTTGTACTGGGGTCGCGGAGGAATCGCCTTGTTCGAGTGGTACTCGATGTCGTTGTTGTGTTCTTCCCGGCCCCGTAGCGGGAGGAGAAGCTGTCTCCGTGCGGGGTGCGTCTGGAGAGCATCCTGGGGTTGGTGGTGTATTGCTGTGATAGCATTGTCGCGGAAGGAGGGGGGAAGAGATGGTAGGGATGGACAGGACAGCCTCAAACAGCCTCAGGGGGGAGGCAGTTTATAAGTCATCGGCCGCAGGGTTCCTGGTAAAACCGGCCATGATGAATACCCGTACGCACTAAGGTCAGGTACGGTGTTGGGTACTTTATCAGGAACGTGCGTCTGAAGCGTACGAAGTCGAAAGAGGCTGCTTCCTGGAGGAGTCTGTAGGGAGGTCAATGGAGGCAGAAGAGTGGGCATCTGACCCTGGTATCTCGTCATCACGGTATTTGCCCTGAATCTCAGTCCATGAGGCATTGAGGAGCACCCAGATGGTGATAATGATGCTGGACGACGCGTAATGGGGTGGTATCGGACGCGTAAAGTGCCATTGGAGTCGCCAAATGATCGCGTGGTCACGGGACTGGCATCGCCCAATAACAACCGGCAATTTCGGGATCGACAGGCGAATCGGATCCATCCCTCTTGGCAATGGATCCGTCAACTTACGGAATAGATCAGAATAGTTACGAAGTATCCATGTCGCTATCATATCCAGTGATGTACGCCAATCCTATACGCCATATGTACAAACGCCGACCCAGGCCCTGCTAATGATAAACCGCTCGATATACCGAAATGCTTCCCAGAGTAATCCCACAGAACGGAGTAGAAGGCTTCACAGAAATACTTTCCTTGCTTCCCGGGGATGGCTTTCACTGGGACAGTAGGGGCACTTGAACCGGGTCCCCTTGCATAACCGTTTGAGAGACTCCTCCGCGATCACATGCCCACAAGGCATCATCATAGGGGGATTTTCATCAGTCGTCTGCTCTTTAGAAACAGGACAGACAAAGATGGAATGGAAGAGATATGAAGGCGGAAGTGGAATTTCAACCTGAATTAGGACAGTTAGTCAGTTTGTGGGAAAATATGTAGATGCAGATGATACCACTTACCGGAAGCTCATTATCTGTCGTCCATTCCGTCCGTTTCGCCTTCATGATTGTCTGCAACTTCAGCAAGGTCGGAAGGGCGATTGCGCCGGCAGTCGCAGCAACATAAAGCGGAGAGTCTGCAGACAGGCCCAGAAGAGAACAGAACTCCCGCGTGAACGAGTGAGCCACATCCTCCCATGCTGACGGATTGTTGAAGATAGCGCGGTAGGGAGAGTTTTGGAGATTAGGACAGAACGCCATCGCTCCCATCAGTTGCTGGATCTCGCGGAGATACCGGGGAAGGAAGACACTGAACTCGCGCCGGGCGTATTCCAAAGCGGCCTGCCGTCCCGCGGAAACCGGTGCTTGCGGATCCTGTCCGCCTCCATGGAAGAGCCACACAAACTGCAACCGGCACAGTTCGAACTCCAAGTTGCTCCCTCGCGCCTCCAGGGCTTCGTTGTTCTCTCGCGACCACTGGATCGCCGGGAGAAGGTTGTTGTTCTCCTTCATTTCGTGTAGAATGTAATACATGGTGGCGAACTGCTTCCGAACCTCGTTCGAGGGGACCTCGTCGATGTCAAGCAAACTAACCGCATTCTCTGTGGTATCAGATCCAGTAGTATGCTGCTGGTTCGCAGCTTTATGCTCGGCCATTTCGGCAAGGAACGTTGCCGCCACCGAGAACTGGCCTTCGCGAAGGAGGTGCATTGCGATGGCTCGGTTGATCAGGTGTTCCTGAGAGGAGAGGGCATCGTGTTCGGTGCTCGGTAGGGGGCGGTCTTTAAAGAGCTATCCAATTATCAGTCGGGCGTTATAGAAGGTAACACAAGAATGCCATGTCCAGTGACTGCCCACCTTGTCAAGCGCTTTGGAATACTTGTTGAGACCGCTGTGGGTCTCCTTCAAGCTGTCGTTGATCGCGTCGAAGGAAGATTTGACGGGATTCTGAAGGGTAGCGAGTGTGATTGAAGCTCTGGTCGGGTCTGTACGATGTTCACAGTTAGCGACTGAGGGGCGATGGGATCGAAATGGAGACGAGACCGACCGGAAGCGATAGTATCGCGGGCCGACTGAAGCAAATCTATGGTAGACTGAACATTTTTAATGCTCTGAGAGGCTTTGAGCCTTTTCGAGAGCCTCTCATGCTCCTTCTGAACCAGTTCCATGGTGATGAGGAGGTGAGAGCGGAAGTGGTCTTCAGGTCGTCTGAAAGCGGAGACACCTACATGATGTCGTAAGATCATGTGGGGAGCGCAAACGTTTGGATTATATTACTAAAATATCAGCCAAATATCAATCAGCAGTCAGTGTGGCCGAGTGGTTAAGGCGACAGACTAGAAATCTGTTGGGTTCGCCCGCACAGGTTCGAATCCTGTCGCTGACGATATCTTTTTGCATTCTTACCCTTCAATTCCAGACTCTGGTCAGGCCTCTGTATTCTCCTTCACTTTCCCCATAATCTCCATAAATTCATACATATCATCGCCATCCCAGCGGTACTTCCCCTGGATCAGAAACCTTGGAACGCCCGTATTGCCGTCCACCCCCTTGTTCCTCTTCGCTTCGTCGTCGACCTCCTTTCCCCCGCCATTCCCCTCCAACCACTTGTCCACTGTCGCAGCCTCAATCCCGGCCGCAACCGCCAACTCCCTTAACATCTCCTTCTCCGAAATGTCTTTCTCCAACTCATGATAAGCCTCTAGAATCTTCTCCACCAGATCCCCCTGCAACTCGGACGGAGTACTCGGATCCTCCCGACACAAATACACCAGCCGATGCGCATCCCGCGTATTTGGCCCGATCATACCCCCGCCTTTAAAGTGAATTCCCACCGACCGCCCGATCTTGTCCATGCGGCTGATCAGCGCGGCTCGCTGTTCGGGCGTTTGGTCTTTAAGTCGCTCATCCATGAGGTCGGTTTTTGGCACGCTGTGTCCGTACGGATTGTAGTTGAGGTAGTAGGGCCGCCAGGTGATGGTGATGGTGTCGTTGCGGCCGCCAGGGTAGGTTTTGCGGTAGAGGCCTATGGCACGGTCTAGCGTGCGTTTGCCAATGTAGCACCACTATTGTCAACGTTAGGGATTAGTAGCGAATGGGTTGGTGGGGATGGGTTGCGCTTACGGCGCAGACAAAGTCGAAGACCACGTCGATTTCGATGAGCGTCATTGTGTTGTTGTTGCTGGCAGAAGGTTGGAAGAAAGGAAGCGAGACTATTGAGAAGTTTATACAGTTGCTGACCAGGTACATCTGTGTCAGCCACTTATGCACGTACTCCGTAGACAGGAATATCACAACAAAGTGTTCTCTCGATCTCCTGTTGGCTGTGTTTCTCCGACTAAGGACTAGCCACTGATTTGGTGAACTAACTGGGTCCTTTATCTTAGTACCCTGACCAGGGTGTTTATTGGTTGATTGACAGTTTTAGATTGGTGGTCCCTGATCGCTTGTCCATAGCATTACACAGTAAATAGATATATTCCTCTTTTGCTGTAGCGCGAACCAAACGTGACATTCATCCAGCTCCTGTGGTCTACTGCTTGAAAACAATCCAACGTGTGGCATAAGATCCTGAATATACAAGGACACTGAAGGGAGAGGGTACAGAAAGAGACATCAGGACATAGAGAGCTTGGGCCAGAACTATCGATAAGAGTTGGAAGATTGAGTACCTAGGCCACCTACAGTGCCTAGAACCATATCACAACTACCTCAAGTACTCCAAACAGAACCATCTGGTTCCTTCCCGGAAACTATATTATCCACTGCAGCTTACCGCGTATGTATTCATGGTCCACGTTAAATCAGTTGCCACGGAACCAACTTCATCTGTTAGAGGTTGCGGGCTGATTTACAATGAGTTCCGTGCTCTCCACCAGAAGATATATATTCAGCAACATTTGCCCAGGACCATGCTTATCAACATCCAGAATTCCTAACTTCCGAATCTGCGCCTGAAATCCACTTAATATTTTGCCAGAGCAGCAACCTCCAAACAATGAGTGGCAAGGAAATATCATCTCAGCTACCAAGAAGCCCGTACTATTCAAGGTTGCGGAGCCCAGCCGTTATGTACCCTCTGGGTGCTTTCGACCCTAAGACCTTTATCAACATCAGCTGGCGGCAGAACTACCACACCAGGCGACTGAGATCTGGGCTAAAGGCTGGGAGAAAGGCGATTACGTTTTGTATTTGTGAGCTGTGTTTTTAACATAGCACAAAGATGTTGATACAGGTGTATTTTATTCGCATAAGTTATGCAGATCGGAAAGCCCTACCCTGACCTATTGTATGCGGGGTAAATAGAAGCCGACGTCTTCACCCAGGATAGAAGACTAGTCACTTCAGCATATATGTAGCAATAATGAACTGGCGGTGGCCCTGAAAATGCCAGACTAAAACAGCTCACCAATACTGGACGTTTATGATATTTACAAAAAAGTACGGAACATATTGTGTAAACAACATGGTGGTGGCCCGGAGACCCCAAGATACCTCGGTCCTTCGGCATCGTCTCCAGAGAGTCCAGACACTAGATAATCTTTAAGTATCGAATTACTTGCAGACAAATCTTGGGTTAGAATAGCAACCAATCCTTCCTCCACCATGACAACCCCCCAAACAGACCACCCCTCATCCACCATGGACCCCAACCAAATCCTCGACTACTTCCGCGCACATCCCAAAGGCAACACTATACTCTCTCATCCACATATCGTCCTCGAACCCAAAGCCAGCGGCTACCAATCCGCGCATCCAAACCACCTGTTCAACGAAACCCTCACCTCCAACGACGGTGTTCTCAAATCTTTCTTCGTCAGACAATCCCCCCCTGAGTCTGCACACGATGCCACCGCGCACCGCGGCTATTTTCTCCTCCAGCTCGGTCGTGGGGTGGCCGGCCAGCAGGACATCGCGCACGGCGGGTTTCTGTCCGTGGTTATGGACCAGGTGACGGGCACACTGATTGGGACGACCCGTCTGGACGGTGGAAAGGGCATGTTCACTGTCTCGTTGAATCTGTCGTACCATCGGCCGGTGTTTGTGCCGGCGGATGTGATTATTGCGACGTCGCGGATATCGAAGGTCGACGGCCGCAAGATCTATGTGCTTGCTGAGATTGAGGACGCCCAGGGGAATTTGTGCACGACTGCGGAGGCAATCTTCCTGCAGAAGAGAGATCAGAAAGTATGACGTCTCCGCGTTCTTGAATCGAAGGGCCGTGGGTAAACTAGTGAAGAATTCTGGTTGTGCATGCTTTGATAGCAGTTGGCTTGGGGTTTGGTGCATGATACCACCGGCATGGTGGAATAGTCTCACAAGGAGTTCTGGCATGGAGCCATCCTACTATTCAAAAGAGACTGATGTCTGAGCGTAACAAAAAACTAGAAGGTCTCATCTTGATGATAAAAAAGCGATGCCATTCCCACAGGCAATACTTTCATTGTATCCATAGATCGTATGATTTTCCGAGAGTAAGGCTGGCAGGGCTACCCTGATCTGGCCTCAGATGCGGCCCATCTGTTTGGCTTCTTCCTGTTAAGTAGGCATCCCAGAGGAATAGACTGTCACTCTGGATAACTATCTAGAGACAGTCCCACCGGAGAACCAGTCATATCACGTACATAACGGAGAAGTGACGGTGAGCATAGAAAATAAAGTTGCCCGCCATGGCTGCGGCATTGCAGGTCTTCATGGAATGGGCTTCTTTCTTGTTATTGACGTAGGCTACGCAGGGATATTATGCATGTTATGAGCACTTCTGTGGAGTCATTTTGAGAAAAACCGGAGGCGAATGCATTGAATCAGCAGGATGCTCCCTCGCAGTCAATATGAAGAAATAGTCTGTCCCCGGAGGGATACGGCAATTGTGAAAATACAAACAACAAAAACAGATTCCGCCATTAAAGCCGAGATCATCGAAGCTCTTTCCCACACTCAATACGCATGCTCAACCATCGAAGAACTAAACGGTGGCAATATCAATTTTACATACCTTTCAATAGTGGACCGGGAAGCGTGTAATATGGAAACCAAAGTAGGGATGTTGCCTGTGTCATCGCCACCCTCTACACGGCGCGTCATTTCAATGATGCTGAGGTGGCAGACCAAATGCTACAGGCTTTAACCCAAGGCTATGGCTCGTTGAGTGAGCAACAGGCTTTCCGCATTGTTGTCCAAATTGGAATGTGTTTTCTCCTATGGAATGTCTATATGCATGAGGAACTGATAGAGGACAAGGAGAAGGAACTAGTCAAGCTGGCAGGATGTGCCCTGGTCAAGGGATGTGAGAAAGACCGCCAGTGGTTTGAGCATAGCTTCTAAGGATGTTTGTTTGATGTTGTTAATCGTTGTGTATAAAATTTCCAAGGTCCCTTAGCATGCTTTCTATCATATACTATCCTCGTCTAAACAGAACTTGCTTTTACATGACTCGACGAATCGATCCCGGTGGTTGTAAATCCCCGCCATCCACTCCGTTTAGTTATGTTGTGTAAGGCCGCACAGGTTGATGCTTGGCAAGGCTGGATTTTGATTCGCAATCCGGGGATTGCCTCAAAGAAAGAGATCAGCCTCGATCAATGCACATCCGAATCCGAATCACGCTGATTGCGTTCTGCGAGTCAATCGTGGCTCGGGGCCCTAGCGATGTCAGTCCACAAACTGGCCAGCGAGACACGGTCTTCGAAGACAGCGACACACCGGTAGTGCTTGGTGGGCGGTAATATGCAGCCCTGACTCGAGCAGGGCTTCCGGGTCAGCATTAATTGGGCGTTGCTGTTCTCTTGCGGGTAAGGCTTCGGTGCTAGAATCGACTTGGAGTCCCGTCAGTCACTGCTGTCATGAACACTCCGACGACAGACCTTGGGGTAAAATCCTGTTATAAGTATCGACGATATGATCCCATATCTCAAGGAGGGACGAGGTTCCAGTGAGGACCAGCGTGACGAGTGCTATCCATGTGTCTATGGACCAGGACATTTTTGTGACGGTCGGAAGAGCTGCTGGTCTTCATGTTGCCGGGTGTTTGGATTTTATATAGGGGGTTTTCCAGGTGTAAGCCAGGGCAGATGGCGGTATACCAAAATATGGTGGAAGTGGAGTACAACCTAAAGTAGGTCGACATCGACACTGACCAGATTCTGGTGTACTTTTGTACCTACACCGTAGGTACTTAAACCAGATTCTGGAAAGGCAGCCTGAGGCAGTGCCCCTGAAAGCAGATTGTGGCCTCGTCCAATCAGACCTGCCATATCGACTTCAGCTGACACGCTGGCGACCAGGGTATACTCCTCTATCTTCTGGAGCCAACTCCTTGCGAAAAAAGTTCTTCACGTCCAATTCTTCTCAACGGTGAAGAATTTGCTCTCCTACCTGTCCTGTACCTACCTTACTCGCACAATGCCAGAGAAAGCACCCCGAATCCCGGACGGGATATGGGACCAACACAAACAAGCGATCATCGCTTTCTATTCGACAAATTCATTAGAACGAACGATGCAATATATGCTTGAGCAATATGGCTTCCAAGCTAGGTACCAACTTCCCCTTCTTTATGCCGAACCCAGCTATAAACTTCCCTAGTTCTGGAGACTGACGCTGCTGTGTGCCTACCCTTAGTAAAAACCAATACACTGCAAAGCTGAAATCCTGGGGTATAGAAAAATATCATCCCGGGAGCGATTGGGCGGCCATCCAGTCCAGGAAGCGCAAGCGAGACCAAGAGGGCAAAGACAGCGATGTTTACATCCGCGACCGCAAATACACACGACAACAGGTCGAAAAAGAAATTGCACGGCACGTTCCTTGGGGACGAGAAGAGTGCAGCTCTGCAGGTGTGCTGCCCGATTATATCACTGTCTGTACGCCCCCAGCAGAGCTAAGTTGCACACCGGGTGTATACCGCGACTTCCTGCTTCGTGACCTTCCTTGGTACCAATGCATCCTTGAGATACAGACACTTGGTAAGTGCTAGAAACTATCAACGTCAACCTAAATTAACGAGATGTCTAGTCTCAGGAGGACTTCAGTTGAGTCCAGCCCCGCCAACTTCTGGTACGTCTCTGGAGCTCGCCATGAGAGAGCTTGCTTCTCAGTCCGCCAGCGATCTACCAGAACTCCGTCTAAATAATAGGCTGAACTTTGAGGCCAACCATGATCTCACTGTATATCTTCCGCCTGAGAGCTTGGATATCGGGACATCTTCGCCTAAAACGCCAAAGACACTGTGGGACAGGCCTCCTTTCTCTTCCCTCAAGATCTTCCTACAACGCCTTATTTTCTTATCAACCAACTATCTGCTTGATGAATGGGAGTTTAACAAGACCTGCAACTGGATTGTTGAGAAAGGTGGCATCAATATCCTCATACTTCTCTGTCGGCTTAGGTCGCCGACAATGGAGATATTTGCCGAAAAGGTCTTCTGCAGTGCTGTCATGTCCGGAAATATAACCCTTGGTCGCAGAATTCTTCAGTGCCGGGCTGGGTTGTGGACTGGTGATGCTCAGCGCCAACGTTGTTCCAAGTACCTCCGCGAAGCCGTCTTCCATAAGCACGAGGCCATGGTTGAGCTACTATGCAAGGCGGGTGCTCACCCTGAGGTCAAGAACTGCTGGTGGTTGTCGTGGCGTGATAACTGGGATTCTCGGCTTCCGATTATACATACATTGCTCGACTTTGGCGCCAATCCGGAAGGGTTCATCACAGACAAAGAGGTTGGGTTCCCTTTAATAGATGCGGCGCTCAATGGTAGCCTAGGGGTTGTGAAATTGCTTTTGCAGAAAGGAGCTCGAGTCAATCTTTGTTGTCCTCGATATTATGGAACTGCTTTGCAAGCTGCAGCGTCCAAAGGTCGCTTGAAGGTGGTCGAATATCTCATCCAGCATGGAGCGGACGTCGACGTCCCTCGTGTTCTACCAAGCCAATGTGACAAGGAGATAATTTCTCATCTAACGCCCGTTCAAATTGCTGCGAAGACGAACGATGAGACTCTTCTTGAAATCTTGCTCCAACACGGAGCATCCGCCATCTCTTGTCCGGCCTCCGCATGTCCTTATTTCCGACCTTATTCTTCTTACCGAGCGGGGAACGAGTGGACCGGCTCACATAGATATAAGCCTCTGTATGATAGGGAGCGGTACCTTTACACTGCCCTGCAATACGGAGTTATAAACCAAAATTTGAAGGTCATCGCACTTTTGCTATCTGCAGGAGTGGCCCCAGACTTCCGAATTATACATGAGGCATATGACACACCATTACAGATGTCCACAAGGTTAGGAAATGTTGAAATGTTTCAACTGCTCTGGGGATCGGGTGCTGATATGAATGCCCCTCCTGCGGTTTACAACGGCCGCACCGCGATACAAGGGGCAGCAGAAGGCGGAAACTGGAAGATCCTGTCGATGCTTTTGGGCGCGGGCGGCCATGTAAATGCGCCCCCAGGAGCAATAGAAGGCCTGACTGCATTGCAGGCAGCCTGTTTGAACGGTCATTCGCTGATAGCTGGGGCACTGCTCGCCTATGGAGCGGACCTACACACGGGTCCATCGCCTGTGGCGGGATTAACACCTATCCAGGCAGCAGCAGCGCACGGTGACATAGGACTTGTAAGAGAACTGATCACTCTTGGGGCAGAAGTTAACGACCCTCCAACGAAGGGGGGCGCGACCGCTCTTCTGGCTGCTATAGAGCACAGATCTCTGCCACTTCTCCAGCTACTCGTGCGTCATGGCGCGCATGTTAATCCAATAGCAGAATACGGATATCTGTCTCCTCTTAGAGACGCGGCGTGTGAGAACTGGCTCGAAGGGGTGCGGTTTCTTCTGAGTCACGGTGCGCATGTGGATGGCGCTCCATCCGACCTGGCAATGTCTGATGATGGAGAAAAATGTTCACCGCAGATGAAAACCCCTCTCTACTGGGCTATTTCTTACAGGTCCAAAAAGATGGTCAAGTTATTACTGCAACGCGGTGCTGATGCCCTTTCCATTGGTGGCGTCAAGTCTCAAGGCGCTCTGATGCACGCATTGGTTACACTATCAAACCCTGAAGCTTTCTATGATGAAGAACCAATTCTTGAAGTTATTGATATGGTTCTAGCGAAAGTCCCAGCGTTGGAAAAGCATCCTGAATGGGAAAGCGTGCTAAAGGTAGTTCTCATAGACTTCGAAGGCGACCACCCGACTACCCGCCAGCGAATACTTGAGAAAGTGAACTCACTGTCGCCAATACTTCGCCATAAGATAGCTCAGAAGGCATGGGATGCACTGCCTAAATATTACGGAGATACAGATGATGAGGAAGAACCGGAAAAACGGGTGTTGGAAAGCATTGAGCTTCTCCTAAAATTGGGGGCATATATCGACGGTCGCGCTAACGATGGAAGCACGATCTTACAGCGCGCGGCTCGCGGTGGCTGGGATAAATCCTGCTCTTACCTTATCGACCATGGCGCGGCGGTTAACCCAGATGCAACCAAATTTTGGGGAAGTCCTCTTCAGGAGGCTATCAAGGATAATCATGTCAGCCTAGCCGATAATTTACTGGGACACGGAGCAGATATCAATGCCCTCCCGGCAAAACATCGCGGTGTTACTGCGCTCCAGGCGGCTTCCATCAATGGGATGTTTGAGCTGGCAGTACGGCTTCTTGAGCGTGGAGCAGATGTCTCTGCACCAGCTGCACCAAGATATGGCACAATTACTTTTGAATGCATATGGGGAGGGTACAGATCTGGAGCCGATACGTCGCCAGGCGGCGCGCTATGCGGAAAAGGAACATCATTTTGAGCTTGCCCGGTGGCTGCGCGGGGACTCGGCTGCTTGAATTGTTGTCTTGTCGTATATCTCGAACCTAATCATCCAGGTTCCGTGTTTCTGTAGCGCTTCTCAGTTTGGAATTGACATTTCTATTGGAAACTTGATCAGCTCATGCAGCCATCTGTGTGTGGGGTGCATAATGCCCATTTCTTATATATCTCTCATAAGGAGCAGATTAAGGAAACATTAGGTGCTGTTGAAGCTGGGATGGAGGCATATAGAGCTGACTTAGTACATCGTTCTCTGATTCATTCTAGGAGAACCCATCGAGATTTCACGTTCTATGAGCCAAATTTACCCTTAATCATCTGTCCTAATACTTTACCTTCGGAATTGATAAGGGTTTAGGCAGATCGAGACCCTGTGTTTGGCTAGATGGTGTTTTCTTTCTGGGGTTATCACTTTCCGGCGTCAGTCTTGGGGATTAGAATGTCACTACATAAGATCTCCTTGCTAGCCTTTCCCAACATGTCGATGGATCATATACGTATTTTCCACTGTCTAAAATCTAGCCGACGACTATCGATGGTAGCTCTGGGTTATCACCCAAGATGGCGGTATATCAAGATCTCCTAATCTACTTTTCTACTTAAATTAGATTTAGGTTCGGCCGGGTTAGCCTAACCTAGCCTAATCTGGGTTTGTGGATCCCAAACATTTAGATTCTAGGAACCTATTCAAAAGGCACCCGTCTCCTTTCCCTGAGCTGGGATGCTCATCTCCTCTACCTCATACTCTAGTGCTTTCTTCTTGTCCTTTTTGCACGAGACAATGGCCGCTATCAAGCCCAACAAGAAATCCTACACTGACCTTTCCACTGTGCTGATCCTCCTTTCGACCTTCGCCGGCGCGGTCACACTCCAGACCCAATTCGCTCTTCCAGAGAGCTGCAATGGCAGCCGCGTCCGTACTCTGATGGCCTTTGCCTCACAGTTCTTCCTCATGTGTCCGATCTCTGTCTTTTCGATATTCGTTGCTCTGCACAACCGCGATGACGGCGTCATCATCGAAACCGGAAAACACGAGTTTCTCCAGTTCCAGTTCGCGGTCACCGGATTCATGATCGTGGTTGGGTTCCTACTGCTCAACGTCGCCGTCCAGTATGCGGGTGGCTATTATGTGGGATCTGCGGGGCTAGCCTTGACTGCGACTTTCGTTCTTATGGCCGTCTCCTGCAGTATCGAAGATCATTTGCCTCCGCCCGCGGGGGCTAATGCCGCACAGAACCTGCAACAGGGGCAGAGACAGGATGAGCCTCAGTTGTCGCTCTCCCAGTTTCTGGGCCTGAGAAAGTCATCCCTTTTGATTCCCAAGGGGAGACTTGTGCTCCGGTGGGTCATTGTTGGACTGGTCGTGCTTGAGGTTGTGGGCGTCCTGCTCTTGCTTGGTCTGGGGATCGCGCAGACGCGCCTTGCGTCTTCAACTTGTCGAGTGTTGTAACACAGCCCGTTTTGCTACTGACACGCCATAGACACTATGTGTGCGTGTGCATATGCGATCTGCGGGGCAGATGGTAGTTTCTATGTGAGACGGGGCAGGAATCAAGTGGGAATCCGATTGATACAGCGATCTGTGGCCACACTAGATTTCTCTTTGGTACTAATTAAAATCCGGGTGGGAAGGGATCTTGATTCATGTTGACCTCTTCGATGTCTATTGTGGCCTCATGCGAAGCTCCCCTGCTATTCTGACTCATAAGAAGATGCCGCCCAGACGAGAAACGGTCATCATTTCCTCTGAGACATAGGGGTTCAGTAAGTGGAAAACCTGTTTGCACTAATCACACCTCCAGGTACTCCGTAAGCAACGACTGCCGCAAGGCTGTCCAAGTGCAACCAAATCTGGCAGGGATCAGAGTGAAACGAGGCTGAGGCTGTCGGGTCTGATCCATCCCAGCTGGTTCTTCCAATTGACGAGGTAACACAGAGCCACGTAAGAGCTACCTAACTCCCAGCCAACTAGACATGGCCTTGGCTTCCCGCGCTCGACTCTGTGGCCCTCGATCTTTGATCAAGATACCAATAAGAAGCCACATAAGAATCGCTGGATGCGATTCGCTTCAAGATACCCAGGTAGTAATGTGCACCTCGTGTGTCGTGCAATATTTATGTTGATTCCTGCCATGCTTGGCCGTAGTTGGATAGTTAGCCTTGCTTACTTCACGATCTCTATAGATCATCTTACCGGCATAAGGTCGTGGAGGGTTTGATGGCGTGTGTGACGTGCATCTTACCATGCTATGCTCTGGACCTTGATAAAGAGCAAATCTCAGGCATTTTCAATGGAAATTTCAGCCATGACAACGTCTCCAGAGGTTTACCTAGCTCTGTGTTGGGGCTGTGTCTATTTACGCGCCTCCCCATCCATCAAGCCTGCCAGGCTACTTTCTTTGCAAGTACCCAGTGGTAGGAGTCTTGACCCTGTCCGCCGTACCCTCGTCGATTTCCAAGTAGAACCCAATATCATATAGTGGCCTCTCAGCATCATCCAGGAACGACCTTGGTCATAAGCTATATTCTCGGTATACATTTGCGGTGTAGCTGCGATAGAGGTTACCATTGTGTCTATCTATGCTGCAGTTTATGCAAGACTAGTCTCAGCTGGTCATGCATTCCAGACTTGTTTAAACAAGGGCAACGCAGACATCTGTACAATTCCCAAATACGGAGGCTCTGCCGGTATTTCCTGTTTCCATTGACGACAGGCGACTGATGCTCATCGATTAGGGTTCAATTACCGGTTTCCCCATAGAGGGTCTATCACTTCCAACTGGCGTGCCGATGCACGGGTTCGCCTCAGGGATTTTCTTACGCCCAAATGTCTGATTCAGACCTTAGCACTCGCCTAGGTAGCTGGTCTACAGCTACGATACCACAGCGGAACAAGATCTCGAAACAGGTGTATAAACCTAGCCCTATGGGAGACGAGTCATTACTACAAGTATATGTCAACCGGGCGGATGTGACTGGACTGAATGGACAGACAGAACAGGCATGAAGCGGGAGTTGGGAGGTGCGGGTATGAGCCGAAGGGCTGGGACAGAAGTAGTGTAGTAGGGACAATTTGTGCCTGTAAATTGAACAACAGGACTCCCCCGGATATCCAAATGTAGCCCTCCAACTAATTAAATTCTTAGTCTCAACCTACGCTTACTAGCACTGCAAATTCGTATATGACAGAATGAGGCGTGTAGGATAATCGAGATAGCTCAAGAACAGCAGATGTATCTCGATAGGTAGATCGATCAAGGTTGTTGTCGAAGACTGGGCCATATGAATCTTAGTCTGTGACCGGAGAGAGATGTAAGCTTGGATGATGTAGACGCTGCAGTTGCGTACTATGGTTAATAGTACTAGTATGGATGTCATGATGACTGACCCTGCCCTCGAGGTTTGAATGGTTTGCATTTTACTTTACGGATGCAGTATATTTAGGGAAGATTAATAGCATATAATGGACATAATTAATCGTCTAGGGACTATGTCATCTGCTGTGAAGAAGATTCCAGTGCATACTACAGGCTCAGATGCACTTAAAGATGGCCTGGAGGTTAGGGACTCCACCTGATTCAGGGGCTGCATAGTTTGTCCCAAGTAACACGCAGTGACCACTGACCAGTGCCTTGTGCGACGTCTAGATGGGATATCCCTCAGTGAATACACTCTATGATTGTCACGTTGAATCCGTTGCACGGGGTTGATAGGGCGTGTATTTCCAAGATATACCTGAGGAATATTGAGCATTCATTTGCCCTCCTTCGCGTATAGGCGATTATCCCTTGCCAACACATAGTCTTTCAATTGACAGGAACCCTTGCAGATTATCATGGACATCTTTGGTGAAAGACAAAGAGAGAGAGTCTGGGAGAGTTAGGTAATATTACCGCTCCTTGAAAAATACCCCTGCAAAAGGCCGCGACCATCGCATCGCCCACCGCCAATTCGCAAAATTGCAAATCCCCCTTGCGAATTTCACCATCTTACCATCCATCAACAACATCTACTGAGGGATCTGGACATCACCAGACTGCCTCATCCAAACAATAACATCTACACACCCATCCACGCCAATGTATTCCTGGCATGGAGCCTCCAGCCACGCGTCCACGCCAGCTCTCCCTCCCCTAGGCGGTCCGCGACTGGATTCCGCCGCATCGACTGCCTCCCAACAGCCGCAACAGCCCTCATACCAGATGCCCCAGCTACGATGGCTGCCCTCAATGATATCCCGCACGCCCAACGGCCCTCACGGCTTGCCCTTGTCGCCGAACCTGCGCATGTCCGGCACTCCTGTTCCTGCATCCACCGCACCGCACTCCGCCCCATCCACCACCACCACAACATCCACACACCACCCGCAAACACATCCCGCCGTAGCCGTCGTCATAGACGCGCACAACTCCCTCCCCAGCTCCTCCGCTAGTGACCAATCCGACCACCCTGCCGCGCGCGACGCCCTCCCGGACACCGAGCACGCGTCCGCGTCCGCGTCCGCCCCCTCCAACAACACCACCAGCGACGCCGCCCCCACGAACCCGGAGGACGACGACGACCTCACAGCCAGCGGCCTCGCCGACCTCCCCGCCACCGCCGACGGCACCGCCGACAGCGACACCCCCCGCAAACACGGCAAACGCCTCACCACCAAAGAAGAAGTCTCCCTCTTCGAAATCTGCAACCGCCACGCAGCCGACTTCGGCCAGCGCAGCAACCTCTGCAAGTGGTGGATGACCGTGACCGAGGAGTTCACCCGCGACCAGGGCCACCCCTACTCGTGGCACTCGGTGCGCCGCCGCGTCGAGGCCATGACCAAGCAGCGCATCAAGTTCCTCGACGACCTGCGCGAAAAGGGCGGTGCTGACGCCGTCACCGCCGCTGACGACGCCGCGAACCCGCGCTGGCGCGCTGCTATCGACGCGTGGATCCCCACCTGGCAGCGCTGGGAGCAGGCCGAGGCGCAGCGGATCGAGAAGAGGGACTCGCGACGGCCACGGAAGCGCAGGGCGTCTGAGTGGGAGGGCGGGAGTCCCGCTGTTTCTGTGCCGGGCGCGCCGGCGGCGCCGGCGTCGGGGCCTGCTCCTGCGACGGCCGGGTGGGAGACGCCTAGTGTGACTGGGACGCCGCGGAGTGCGTCCGTGTCGGTGCCGGCGCAGGTGCAGGCGTCGCAGCAGAGTGCGATCCGGCTGCCGCCGGGGTTTGAGAATATGTTCTCGAATCAACCGAGTGCGACGCCTGCGCCACCGGTGTTTGCGTCGCCGCCACCGCCGGCGCCGGCTACACCCGGCGCAAAGGAGAATAATAGTGTGATGTCGGCGGTGCTGGAGACGCTGGGGAAGCTGAATCGGCATCTGGATGCGGCGGGGTCCGAGCCCCGTTCGTCGCCGATTGTCTCTTCCGTAGCGTCGAATCCGCAGAATGTGTGGTCTGGTGACACGCGCGCCGGGAATGGCGACGAGGCGGCGAGTAGCGTGTTGTCGGCGGCGGTCGTCGACAGGCTCAAACAGGAGATCCGGCAGGAGATGCGCAATGAGTGGCAGGCGGCCCTGGAGAAGGACCGCGCGGCGCTGGAGGAGAAGCTGGATTCGGTGCAGAGGACGCAGGAGATGATCCTAGAGATGCTGCGACAGGAGCCTGCATGATCTTGGTTACTTTCTTATACCCTTTTGTTCTTTCGGCTGTATGATACCCATAGCGAGTAGACTTTTATCTAATTCTAGCGAATATGAACGATCTCCGATAGTATTCCTAAGCTACAGGAGAAGAATGCAAACATAGAACCCGGCTAAATTACAAATAAAACGTGCATGGTATGCTGCATAGCAGTTTAGTTTTACCCTCATCCGTCCACAACACGCCTGAATTACCAATCAACGTCCTCGTCGAGCCTAGTAGTAGAAGGTCTCGTCGACGGTACGGCCTCTCATCCAGCGGGGCTCGCTGCCACGGACGTAGATGTCCTCAAAGAGGATGCGAGAGTTGTTGTCGGGGACGGCCATGTTCTCGGCGATGGCGACCTCCTCGTCGACGTGGGCGCGGGCGGCCTTGTCGAGCGCCTTGAGCTCGTCCTCGGACATGACGCTCCAGTCGAGGATCTTCTGCTTGAGACCGGCGATCGGGTCGTTGGTGCTGCGCATGCGCTGGATCTCCTCACGGCTACGGTAGGTGGTACCGGGGTCGGACATGGAGTGACCACCGTAGCGGTAGGTGACGTACTCGAAGACCAGAGGGCCGTTGCCGGCGACGGCGTAGTCCTTGCCGTACTTGACGGCGGCCTTGGTGGCCAGGACGTCCATACCGTTGACCTTGATACCGGGGATGTACTGACCACGCTTGTAGTACTCGGTCAAGGCAGAGGAACGAGCGGCGGAGGTACCCATACCGTACTTGTTGTCTGCGGACATGTCAATCAGTCATGCTCTAGGCACAAGGCGCATTGGTTGACGACTTACTCTCACAGCCGAACAGGACAGGAAGCTTCCAGAGCTTGGCCATGTTGAACGCCTCAAAGACCTGACCCTGGTTGGAGGCACCGTCACCGTAGAGGACGATGGAGGTGGTCTTCTCCTCGTTGTACTGCTGGGCGAACGCAAGGCCGGCACCGACGGGGACCTGGGCGCCGACAATACCGTTACCACCGTAGAAGTTGGGGGCGAACATGTGCATGGAACCGCCCTTGCCGTAGGCGATACCCTCACGACGGCCGAGCAGTTCACCGATGATGGAGCGGACGGTACCACCGCGCATCAGAGCGAAACCGTGGCACCGGTAGGCGGTGATGACCTTGTCGTCGCGGCTGATGGCATGCTCGATACCGGTGGCGACGGCTTCCTGACCGGTGGAAAGATGGCAGAAACCTCTGATCTTCTTCTCCTTGTAAAGACGATCGGCGGCCATCTCCATACGTCTGTACGATGCGGAACAAGGGGTTAGAACGGGAACAGACGGTGCGCATCGACCAAGGGACCGATTTTCCATACCTCATGGAAACCATGTCGTAGTACATCTGCTTGAGCTCCTTCTTGGTCACCTCCAGGGTGTACGGAGGAGGGTCGATCTCGTAGGTCTCGAAGCTCTCATCGGACAGCTGAACCGTGAAAGGCTTGTCTTCTTCCTGTGTAGGGAGGGAAATCGCGTCAGCACAATCGCATCGAAGGGTATTTTGACCGCGAACAATGGCGTTTTGGGGCTTCTCAACAAACCTGGGGGATATTTTCAGCATGCGACGAAGCGGCGTCGGTGGTGACGGAGCGACGGGTGATAGGAGCGAAAGCCTGACGCCTCAAAGGCGCGGCCTGACGGGCCCACGCAGAACGGAACAGCATGATGGTGAATAGGTGAGTCCCAATTGAAGTGGAGGAGGAGGGAGATGGGGGAGAAAGAACTGAAGCTGTTATCTTTCAACCGCCGGAGATGTTGGGAACAAACTTTCCCCTTCAGCGGATTTTCGGCAGCCCGGATTACCTAAGCCCACCCGCCCTTCCATTTCGGGGACATCCGGTGTAGACGGTGCAAACCGAACAAACACCGCCTTTCTGCTGTGATCAGAGCAGGAGAGGCTTCAATTCTTCGCACTGGACATGACCGGTGGATTGGCGTAGTCTACTCGGAATACGCTCTACGGAGAACATTCTTGGACGCCGTTCTTTGAACCCGCAGTGATCCGATATCGATCAGCGGCGGATGCCCCCGACCCATCCGGGGCCTAGTCCCACGAAGAGAACACCCAAATCACGGCTACGACCGATGGGGTTTGACGGATTGTTGGTTAAAGTAGTATCCGTCGCATGTCCAATAGTTCTATGATTCATTTGAGCTCCATTGATCTCCTTGAGGTGCCATAGTCCAGGATGAAGAGCGGGAGGTCAGGAGAGTCTGCGCAGACTTTCTCGGAGTAACACATCCCGATCTTCCCCGGGAGATTCCAGTCCGATGAGGAGACCTAAACGACGCACATTCGTACGTTCGTCAACAGCGTAGGACGATAGGCCAGTTTTGGATGTCGTCTGATATCTGGGACACAATGGCACGAGATGTCTGACATAGAGCGCTCCCGAGTGCACGTTGTGGGAGTCCCAGCGAACTTGAACAAGAGACAACTGATCTGGGTGATCCAATATATATCTCTCAGAGGACGGCTGCATTAATATTCATATACACATACCTTCTAAAGAGATATTGATATGTCTTTACCACTCTGGCTGATGCCACGATACTCAACTGATCAACAGATGCGATAAGAGCAACGTCGATAACATGCACTACTCCTCATACTCATCTGCCGTCTTATCTACTCCATGCCTGTGGAGTAGTAAGAAGAGTTTCCATTAGCCACGCGAGTCAGAGTCCAAACGAAGCGTTCCAGAAGCACTTTCGTCTTCCACGCCGTCTTCCGTGGGGACCACAGCCCACCAGCACAACCCTATGGGGCCACAGCGGAACTCCCTGTTGATTGTGAATCCATCACCGCGTCAGCTATCCTCATGGTGAGATCCAACAGCGCGGACAGCCCTCTAAAGTGGGTCACATTCACAGGCTAGCGAAGCGAGAGGAACACCAAGAACCCAATAAGACCTCACGTAGGGCCATCACCATCCTTATGTAGACGGGAAGATCAGAGATCTCTCACGATACACCGTGAATATCCGATTCCTTCTGCGATGATGGAAGCCTCAGCTGAACTATGCCAGCCCTGTTTCACAGGCAAACCCAAATGCTAATAAACCGGCCCCATTGCCTGAGATGGACGTCGTCTCGAAACAGAGTTCGCACCACGGCTTTCGAGGCTGCGCCGTCGAAAAGAAGTCGCAATGCATGCGAGAAACTAAACTCGCCGAATTGACATGAACAGGTCTACGGTTCCGCGGGCCGGATCAATAGTTCGCAGCAACAGCGACATAGTTCATGCATGTCGTGCTCGGCGTATGTATCCGATGAAACATCATCGGACATGTAGTGTACGTACATGCCTTAGTGGCTGGAGATCGGGGCTTATCGATGCACCGATGGGACTCGTAAACGTGGCCACATGTGGATAGCCAAAGAGCGTGTCTGGTTTGGTTCCATGGGATTGGCACGTCAGAATTTGGAGACTTCGCTCCCTCCCCAGTTTTAGGCTCGCTGCGATTTGAAATGTTTGGGCACAAGGTTCGCCGGCTCAGCCTTGCTGAGACATATACGGAGTTCATATGGGAGACTCGAGGAATTTTCCTATTCTGTTCTGGAGTTGCTCATTGCAGAATAGAAACGGGCTGATTCCCCATCAAAGGTCACCCAAGATCTCTAGAACGTCAAGTGATCTGGTCGACTGGGTCGTCCCGTCCATTGTCCGCGGTGTGCCTGACTAAGAACTTCCAGAAAACTTCGAATGGCTTGGTGACGAAGACAATTGGATGGTGCAGTGGCAAAGGTTCCATGGTTACATGCGGGGCCACCCAAGGCTATCCAGGGCAGCGAATTACTGCCCATTATTGAGACTCTCGAGTCAGTGGCGTATGGTGAGTGTACAGGTATTGTTGTAAGGTATTTCACGTACTGGCAGAATGGTCTTGCGACGCCAGTACAGCGTAGGGTGTAGGGCGCAGAGTGATATCTAGATCGTCGGATCTGTCAATCCTCCGACAGGGCGCAAAATCACCGCGCTGCATCTCAAAGTCTAACACAAATACTAAACAGCCCGACAGAGCAGCAATCGCAACCTAATCGCAATCTCCTGCGTGATCGGACTAGTGGTAGCTAGACACGAGCAGTTCAACGCAAGAGGCAAGTTATCGCCGAGGGCGTCGCCATCGTGTGTTGATATTGCATCCAAGCATGAACTATTAGCGATAAACTTCTCAGTCCTATCCAAGGAACCGAACGTTCATAAGTACTCGATTGATCGCGTCGCTCTCAGATCACCCGAAGGTGATATATCAGATCAGTCAAACCCCGAGCAGGTCGACTTATCTACGGAAGATCCCATGCACTGCGGACGTGCACTTGCCTTGCATCGCAGATGGCCAATGCGTCCGCTCAAGTCGACCACATCGAATCATGGCACAGCATTCTACCTCTTCAAGGCGTGCAGACGGTCGGCGGACATCACCGAAGGAAAGTACATTGCATAAAGCAAACATACTGAAACTGTGAAGGCGTCATTGCGTGCAGTTTGCTCTACGCAGTACATGTCACAAATACATACATCGTACTCCGTACACATGGGGCATTCGACGAGTCGCACACGAGCATCACCGCCCGAAACGCGAGTGGTTTGACCCGGTATCTCGCTCCAGGAGACACCGAGACTTGATGTCATAGTTCCAGATCTCAGGCAATCCATGGTGGAAGAGGTGGCATGGTCGTCGACTGTTAGACCAGGCTAGTGTTGTCTCCGCCTCCCCGAATAAGCTAAGGGTCTCACGACTGTTTCAGATGGACCTTATTGCCAGGACAGTCGCTCAATATGGCATCAGTCGGCGGGCATCACTCCCCATTTCCCCGACCAAAGCACTGATACGTCTGTCGCAATCTTAGTTGGGTCGTTGAATGCCTGTTTTGTGGAAGATTGACCGACGGTGGATCATTCAGCACAGGACCCCAGTCTTAGTCTGATTCGGAGGGGTGATCGAGGAACTAGACCTGGATAGCCGTTGACATGTAGCGAAACAGCCACCAGGAGGCCCCGGATCATGGGTCCGGACCCAGTTCGATGGCAGCGGGTTGAGGCATCCGAGGCGTCTGCAGCGCGGTCCACGGTCAGACAGGAGGTACGTGTGCGTGATCACGGGACGAACGATGTCTGAGAGTGAACTTAGTTGCACCCGGGGTGTGTTCGAACTGATGGTCAGTCCATGACACTAGGTTGAATTCATGTTTCTTCACAGATCGAGTCCAGGCTGGTGTTGGCTGTTAGTCACCCGGGGAGGAGAGTCACCTGGTTCGCTATCCATGGAACGGGACTTCTTATCGCTGTTTAGACTCACCACACGATCATCCCTTGCCACTGGACGTTCCATGGTTGGACAGAGGGTCTTGCTGGTGGCCGGGGAACTGCAGCGAGGATGGAATATAGAGTTGACCAAGGGGTTTCTGTACTTTCTGCAGGCGTTGACAGGTGCACAGTCAAAATGGTAGAGTCAATCCTTACGTCTTGTGGATGGTGAATAGTTGGAGCAAGCTGCCCGTATATGGGTTTGTAACGACGGAGTAGACCTTAGCTCTTACTCGGAGTAGGTATATCTATCCTGCACACCAATTATATGTACTTATTTCCCGTCTCCAAACTGTATTCTCGATAATCTGATGCACTTCGTAAGCTGTTCTTCGGTATCTACCCGAAGTCCATATCTTAGGAAATATAAACTTTAGGTCCAGCGGGAGATTCCACCCCACCACCATGGTAGAACAACTGATCAACCCAATGCCCAGCGATACCACCCAAAAGACATTCAAAACACCATACAAGTGTCATGGTCGGGGTTGCGATCCTGGAGTGTTTCATCCTAGGCCGGAAGACGATGGCTGATATGGCGGTCCGGGCTTGACTCAAGATAGTGCAGTCGCCCATCCTCGGCCTCAGACACAGTGGAGGAGGTAATGGGCTGTACGGTACTTTACACACGGTCTCACGCCGGATTCTCGTGACTAGGGCGACGCTAGCGGCGGAAGGACAGCGCCGTTCCAGTTGAGTGCAACCCTTCAGCGTCGTGGGGGGACGAGACTGTCGAACCGATAGTATGGGTCACTTTCTCCACGGTCCCAAAGACATCGTCGCTTCCGAATCTTTGGACTTGCAGTGGTTCCGTCGGACGGGCGGTTGGGTCTGGTCAGAGCGATAGATTGATGAGAATCGCGATACATCCATAACATATTATATTAATCGTTCTCGCGGATGGAGACGACGAGGACCGACTTCCCGCCCGGCGGATCATAGTGCTTTTGACTAGACCGGAGGGAGCAAGTCATTCGATGGGAAATCTTCCCTTGGTCGGTGGAGATTCCGACGTTTCCATCCGTTGATATTGCAGCGCTGCCACTGGCCCGCTTACGTACGCACCTCTCCTCCACGTCCCACGGATAGTCGACGATCCTTACTTCCAGCTACCCGACGAGAAATTGCGATGGCATCTCCGTCATTAGTTATTCCTAGTGCCTTTTATGCCTGGATTGCGGGAGAAACCAGATCCATCGTCGTCATAATCACTGACAGAAAACGCTCGGGGATCGACGGTCGGCTACCGGTCAAAAGGTCAATCCTTGCTGGATTGTGCAAGAGCTGAGGGCCTATCGGGACGACCAGTGGTGCCCGAGTGGGAATTCTCAGATGCATACGATTCAGTAGACGGGATGAAAGGCTATCACGGAGCCAGATGGGGGTTGTGCTGAGGAGTGAGTTTGCGAGGGTGAGATTATTCACTTTACACTCCGAACTCCGTGCTGATTCGGTATCACCAACCGTCAATAGTCTGGTCACAGCAATGACGGCATGTGCGGCTGTGGCGTGGCTGAGGAATCCAAATCTCCGAACCGCCGTCTGGGGAGAGATGTTGGTGATAGATGGAATGGACACATCAGGGGACATCAGAAGTGCCCGACTGGCCGGAAGGGCGGCGCTGCAGTTCTCCGCTGATGCTGGGGGACGGCCTACCTAGTACCCTACCCGACATGGCGACGTACGTTACCTTAACCTTGGGGCAGCGGATTATGAAAGCTGTTTGGCGGGCGGCATCTGTAAGGGGAGCCGAGAGACTAGATCTGTCCCAACTCAAAACCCGTGCAGATTCGGCATACGGAGTACATCCAAGGATTGTCTGTACGGGGTTTCCTCAGTATATTCCGAAGAATATCAGAATAATATTCCTTTTATGTATGGTATGATCAAGAGCCGTCCTGATATCCAGCACATACAATATGTTCAACATTCATTCAGGGGAGTCTCTCAGTCCCTGAATGAGCCCCACATCCGGAGCCATTAGGGCCATTCATCCATGGGCCGGACTGACGGACTCCACTGCCAATCTTTAGTCTGCCTATAGTGGCCATCAGTCCCGTACCACGGATGTACGCCCCAGGTATCGCCCAGGTACCTCTACCCAGTGAGCGCCATAGAAAGGGTACTGTAAGAATACCTTACAGACTATCAACGGCTCTGCTGCACCAGGCCATACGCCGTCGTAAATTATTCATATCTCCAACGAACTTTCTCTCCTTTCCTCTGGTTTCTGTCTCTCTCGTTCTCCCTCTCGCTCTTCTCCTCTCTCACTCTTTCTCCATTCCCCCCTGGTCCTTCAATTCCTTCATTTTTGGACTTTCCAGCCCTGCATAACCTCTTATTCCCGCCCCTTTCCTCCCCACCACTGGTCGACTATCGTCAACTCCTCCCCCACTTGGCTCCCCTAAAAGGAAGCCCTTCCCCTCCTCTCGCCCGTCGTCGTGTTGATCTCTCTTCTTCCTGGCCTCTTCAGAAACGCCTCAATTCGTGGCCCATGTGGAAACATCGGCCAGCTTCCAGATCGGATTCCAAGTCTGGGAGTAGCGATTCAGGATTCCATCGGTCCGCCAGTGGCTTCTTTGGACGCTCTAAGAAAAAGTCTCCGCTTGGTAAGTATAGTGTCTCGTACTAGTGTTGGTGTGTTTTTTTGTCCTTGCGCCTGGATTTTTACCTGGATTTTTATACTTTTTCTTTTTTTTCGTTATATTTTATTTTTATTTTTCTCCCGTGAAATTATTATTATTATTCTATTATTTATCCCTCTGACAGAGGCGGTGGTCCGGCTCTGAGATTATTATTATTATCGTCATCATAATAATAATCGTACTATTGTTCTGGACTCTCCTCACCACCTCCTGATCACAAGCTTCTTCCTGTTCGGTCCTTTCTTACTTCTTCTTCCTCTTCTTCTTCTTCTCTCTCGTCGTTCGTGCGCTGTCTCTCTTCCTCACCCCTCGTCTCTCCTTTCTATCATCCTCCACACTCCACCTCTTCCCTCCTGTCCATCCTCTGGTGTCGTGTTCTGCAGACGTCCTCCGTCTATTTCCCCGTCTATCCCCGATCAAGGTAGTATACTCCGGATACGCCACGGGGCGGCCAAAGAACACGAATCACCTCGCTCTCTCTGCCTGCACTCCCGCCACACCACCGCGCTCCTTCGTTCTTCTTATTGGTGTCGCCTGCGATCCCGGCTCTTTTCTCTCTCTTGTCCCCCTCCATCACTGACGGACAAATTCGTCGTCACCTGCAGATTTCGGTCGATCAGACTCCCCCGCTCGTTCGCCGCTTCGGTCTTTCCGGTCATTGAATCGTCCAGAAAGCAGTGTCTCTGGTTACACGGACACATCGCGGTCTCGCGCCCCGTCCACCGTAACCAGCAATTCTATATATCCTGATCCATCCACGGCAGGTTGGCAGCAGAACAACCCATCTCGTGCCTCCTTCAATTCCCGGTCCGGTAGGCCAATGGCAGGCTTGATGGACGTCGACCGCACTCGTAGTCGAAGGGAGAGGACGTTCGTCGGCAGCGAATGCGCTGTCTGTGAAGAACCGCTCGAACACACCCTGCGCGGGGAGCGTGTCCTCCAATTCTCTTGCACTCACGTCTCCCATGAAGCCTGTTTCTACGAGTTCATCCGTGAATTCGAGGGCCAATATTGCCCTACCTGTGATGCGCCGCTCGGACTGGATACCAGTCGGGGAGGCAATGTGCTCGACTTGGGTAAGTTCTCGTCCGGCGCGCAGCCGACGGACCAGCGGACTGATCGGCGCACAGAAAAATTGAGCAATATTGTGCGCTCAGTCGCCAGTGATGCGGCCACCCAGCGGAGTGGGCTCACCACTCCGACTCCGTGGGAGCCTGCTCCGAACCGTGGACGCCCTCCAAGTGATGCTGGAAGTCGACCGTACAACAACCGCGACAGTAGGGATCTCTACAGCCGACGAGACAGCAGAGACACGACCAGTCAACGCGAACGCATCGAGCGTCTGACCGTAGGATCCCGCCAGCAACACTCCCGAAATGGCAGTGCCGCCGGTTCCTCTGGTGATTACCACGATCCCAATAACCCGGCGAACGGACGGCGACATGACTACGACCTCCAGGCCATGGAGTCTGACCTGAGCCCTCGCGGCTCCATGAAGAACCCGATCCCCGCACCTACCGTCACCATCCGCAGCGAATTCCCCACCATGAACCGGTCCCGTCAGCAGCAAGCATTGACGTGCCTGGTCACGGTAGAAGTTCCAGAAGGCTGGCGCCCCGATACAGATGACTTGCACAATAGTACTGCCGGCGCATCCCAGCCGCACGATGAACCGTACACACCAAAGGTTTATAACAGTGCGCATGAATCTCGAACCGCCTCATCAATTCCGTACGAACCCCAGGAAGTGTTGGACGAGGTTGCGGAGGAATTGCGAAACCGAGTTGACAATTGGCATGGCCTGGAATTCCAAAGGTATGCGGCGCAGACCCACATCCGCCTTCGTCCCTAACTTTATGCAGGTTCGGAAAGCTTCGTCTGCATGGCCACATGCGCGTCGGCAAGGACCGTGAATCATGGCAGGAACTGGAATGTTATCTCTTCGGGGAGATGTTAATCTGCGTCAAGGAGAAGCGGATCAATGACCGGCACCAGTATGATGATCAATTGCCCAAACCTCGGACGCGGTGCACGCTCAAGGGTTCGATTCTGATCAAGAAACACCTCCGGAGTATCGACGCTGCCACAGGTATTGAACACGTTCCAGACTACGGAGAATATAATGCTGACTTGAATAGACGAACCTATCCTCACATTGAATTTGTCCGTCAGCGAACTCCCTTGTTTCTTCCTTCGCTTCCAGAGCCGTAACCAGCTGGAGATTTGGCGCCGCGCCCTCCTCGATCTCCACCAGCTCGACACCCCGTCTCGCAACCCGGACTTCGATCTGGACAACTCGGGAGAGGAGGAGGATTACCGCGCAAGTAAGATCAGACGACAGGCATCCCTGAACTCGTCCTATGGCGCAGCACGTTCCAACAACACCGCCATCACCGACTACACCAATGCGGGCGGAGACACCTTATCCACTACCTCCCTTCATATTCCTCTTGACATCGTGGTGGTCATTCCGGTATCCTCTTCCATGCAGGGCCTGAAAATTACACTCCTGCGCGACGCCCTCAAGTTCCTTGTGAACAACCTCGGACCCCGTGACCGAATGGGGCTTGTTACTTTTGGCTCCAGTGGTGGTGGTGTTCCTCTTGTGGGTATGACCACCAAGTCGTGGGGAGGATGGCCGAAGATTCTCAACTCCATCCGGCCTGTGGGCCACAAGAGCCTCCGTGCCGATGTGGTGGAAGGCGCCAACGTGGCCATGGATCTGCTGATGCAGAGAAAATCATCGAACCCCCTCTCTACCATACTCTTGATCAGCGATTCTTCCACCTCTGACCCGGATAGCGTGGACTTTGTCGTCTCTCGTGCCGAAGCCGCCAAAGTCAGCATCCACTCTTTCGGTCTCGGACTGACCCATAAGCCGGATACGATGATTGAGCTTTCCACCCGGACGAAGGGTTCCTATCTCTATGTGAAGGACTGGATGATGCTTCGTGAGTGCGTCGCTGGCTGTTTAGGATCGCTGCAGACAACCTCCCACCAGAACGTCAAATTGAAGCTCCGCCTTCCGGAGGGCTCGCCGGCCAAATTTGTTAAAATCAGCGGAGCCCTTCACACGACGAAGCGCGCCACTGGACGCGATGCGGAGGCAGCTCTGGGCAACCTGCGTTTTGGAGACAAGCGCGATATCTTGGTCCAGCTTGTTATCCAGCCCGACAACTCCGCGCAGGAGAGCGTGCCACAGGATCCCTGGGAGAGCCTGGTGTCCGGTTTGGAGGCCCTTGGTGGTGGATCTGATGGCGATGAGCAGCGGGTGGTCAGCGTCGAGGAAGTCCCTCTTATCCAGGCTGATCTGACGTACGGTGACCTTCTCCGTGACGGCCATCTGACCCACTCGCCTCGTCCTTCGCTTCTGGCGATTACCATGCTCCCGCAGAACTCGAAGTCGAAGCATTCTGGTCCGCCAGGCACACCGCCTATCCCGCCTCACCCTTCGATTGTCCAGCGTCGTATGGAGCTGCTCACGTCCGACATGCTGACCAGGGCTCTGACGCTGGTGACGCGGGGACAGCCTGACCGCGCGCAGCATCTCCTGATGGAGACCCGCAGTATCCTCAAGGGGCTGGGTAAGGGTAGCCTTCCTCCTCTCCCTCCCGGTGCTCCCAAGCCTGCGGCTACTAGCGACGCGGGTAGTCGAGGCGGGACGCCGATCTCGACGTCCCCGAAATCGTCCACATTCACGGAAAGCCACTCGTCCGCGGCTTCTGACACGGCGACAATCACCCCTGTCGCTGCGGTCGATGGCCAAACCATCAACGCATTGGATGCTGACTTGGAATCGGCCCTGGAGTGGATCAACCATCCTGCCGTCTTCAGCCGCGACTCGCGGAAAGCGGTACTCCAGGCCATCGGTGTAATTTCATCTCAACGAGCCTACACCTTCCGGTCACCTGCCGAGGCCCACTGGGCGCAGCGGATTGCGGGCGTCCGCCGCCTGACTGACCGGTCAAAGGAATGGCGGGAAACTGGTGATGACGCATTAACTGAAGAATAGACGCACGACACGACCTTTTTTTTTTTTTTTACTTTTCTCTTTGACTTGTTCCTTCAATTCTCTCGTGGCTGGGTCTTTTGTTTATGATACCACTTTGTTTTGACCATGACTGTGTAGCATGATACCACGGGTTTGGCTTGGTTCTGTTCCTGGATATACGATGTATATATCGGATTCCTTTTGTTGTATTTCGTGGTTGGACTGAATAATGGATTGGGTGGTATCTGAGTGGACAGTCATGCTGATTGATGTTATACAATCGCTCTGAGTCTGATGGCGTTATGCTTGAGTATCTTATGATCATCTTTGAAACTACAGCGAATGTATCCTTTCCTATGAACGACGCATGAAACAAGTATATCTGGGGTCGACGTAGACAAGTCAATTCCCCCTTATGTTGTATAAGTCGACACTCTGAACTAAGAGCTTCCCTCGCTCTAGTTCTGGACCCAAGACTGTACCGCTGCACTACTAGTTCGCTGACGCCCGGCTCAAGAATGGGGGCGTCTACTGAACGAGATGTACATGTCAATGTATGAATTCTCTATATTATAACATCCATGTACCTATATACAAGACAGACGGTCTAGACAAGATCCACCAACTCCTCCGAAACGAGATGCGCCTCACCCAGCGCGCCCTTAACCACCAGCACGAGTTCATCAATCGCACCCAAAAACTTCAGGTACGCACTCAGCGCGACACAAAACCGCCGATAACTCTCGTCACGCATCAACTCCGGCGACAGCGCCAGATCCACCGGGTGATCATGCCAGTACTCCATTGCGCGGCGGAGCAGCGGCGCAGGCAAGATCTCCGGCGGCGGGTCACCCGTCTTGAGGGCCTGTTCGCACACGGCCAGGACGGCCATGACGTCGCCGATGGCGCGGTGGTCGAGCAGCCCGGTTTGCCGGGCGAGGCGGTCCTGGAGGGGGGGCGGGAGCGCGGCGGAAAGCAGTAGGAGGCGGCCGAGGTTGCGGTTGATGCTGTGGGTGAGGGTCTTGACACGCGCGAGGGCGGCGCTGTCGAAGCGCGAGCTGGAGAATTCGAAGCGGAGGAGGGCGATTGGGCCGTCGAGTGTGACGAGGGATTCGGCGAGGTGCAGGGTGAGCGGTTCAGCGAGGAGGTGTGCGTCGCGCCGGGAGGGCCGGCCCCAGCAAGAGAGGAGGAGGGCGTAGTGGTCCGAGAGTGTGCGGAGCATGTGCGAGAGGGTTTTGCTGATGTGGCGGGCGGCAGAGGGAGGCCGTGGGAAAATTTGCAGGATTGTAGCGGCGGCGACGCCGATGAGGACGAGAAGAAGACGGCGCCAGAAGACGGTGTAGCCGACGCCGGGGTTGCCATATTGCGGGATGTGTCTGTGGGCTGCTTAGTTGGTTGGGGAGGGAAGGGGAAGTAGGCTGGGCACTCACGTATCGTCGTAGCTGTAGGCGATGACGAGAAGGAACGTCGCGCCCCCCATGATGCCACCCTGGAGGAGGTTCGGCGGGAGGTAGAGCCGCACCCAGAGGAAGATGATGAGCATCACGGCCATGATGGCCGCGAGGCCGTATGGGTTACCTGGGCCGTTGGCGGAGCCGATGTACCAGGCGAGGAGGCCGAGGACGCCGCCGGCGATGGTGCCGACGAGGCGCGAGATGACGGCGAATGTGAAGTCGGCCATGTACACGACCAACCCTGTCTGTCCCATAATCAGGGCCCAGAGGCCCTTCTCGCGGTAGTAGAAGCCGGCGGTGTGCGGGATCACCCCCGGAATGCCCAGGGCGATGGTGACGACGACCATGCGCAGGGCGTAGAGGCCTTCGTTCGAGGTGAACCAGTGGTACGTGCCGAGGATGAGGCGGCCGATGGTGCTGCGCTGCGTGGGACGGTACGCCCGCCGCATGCGCAGTTTCTCCTGCGCGGCTTTGGTCAGGTCGTCAACCTGGTCGTCTGGGTCGCTGTCGGTGGCGGGCGCCGTGTCCGGCGCAGGCGTCTTCTTCTTCGAGAACCATTGCGCCGCGTACTTTAGACTAGTGGGCCACCACAGCCGCACACGTGTGGAGGTGGTGTACATGGTGAGGATGCGGTCGAGAAGCGTTTCGATCTGGTCGACCGTGTTGGCCATGTGCTCCTCGAAAACCATACCAACCACCAGCCCTCTAAGTCTGTCGACTTTGGTACTGTCCGTTTGGCCCTCTTCGAGCCGTATATATTCGTCAACCAGGGTGTTGGTCATGTCGCGGACAAAGGATACGCGGGTCTTGCGGAGGTTTTCGAGCGCAGACTGACCGCGCTGGCCTAGCTGTTCTCGCTCGACACGACGTGCAGATCAGCGCGCAGTCATCAGTGATGCATCGCGACGATATCATGCTCGACATCGTCGATGGCTTTGTAGTGTCGTGATCATCTCTCGATGGACTCTGCGAGAGCTGTCGTCGGGACTGCGCAGTCCGTCGAGAAACTCGGCCCAGTTGCGACAGCTGATGTGCGCCAACTCTGTGTTCGCGCTTTTCGTCCTTGTCCTCGTCGCTTGCTTCATCCGCGTATTCGCGGAGGACGTCTTCGGTGCGCACCTCGCCGTATATGCGACTGATGTGAAAGTCCCAACAAAGTCGCGATGGCCATCACGGTCTTCCGCATGGGTTCTTTGAGCTGCATCACCTCTTCTGCACCCCAGCAACCCACGGAGAAGTCGAGCGGGAGGAAGGCAAGCGCTGGCTCCATCTTCTTGTACTCCCCGAAGATTTGGATGCGGATCTTTTGCAGACGGTGCATGTCCGGCTGCTGCGCCTTTTGTCCCAGGGTTGTTGCGGTGAAGGTCAGCGGAGCTTTCAGTTGCGCGACAATGTCCTCCAAGCTGTCGAGGACGACGTGCGAGGTGGATCGGGGGAAGAACAGGATGGAACACGCGACGCCGAGACCGACACCAATTGCCGCCGGTTTCACCAAGGAGAGCGGCAGCATCCCTTTGAAAGAGGGTAGGAGGGGAGTGAAGTTAAGGAAGAGATCGGTGATGATGATTCCGTAGATGGAGGTGAAGGCCAATTTTGGATTGTTGGCTCGTAATCGCGCCTGTCGATGGTTACTAGGGGACGTGTGGCTGGGACGAGGGCCATACCATCAGGTAGATGAAGAGACAGAGGAGACAGTAGGTCACGGACGTCACTCGCGCGTCGAGCATGTATCCGTCATAGACCATTTTCTGCGCGATACTGGCGACAGGGACTCCCGTCGAATTGGCCTGCGCTGCAGCGGTCTGCTGCAGCGACGCCAGGCGGGCCTGCGTGTCAGCTGCAGGCCTCGCAGCCTGCGCAGCTTTCATCACAATGACACCCCATGCCCATGCAAGAAAAATGCCGATGAAGAGGGACAGAGCGCCGAGAACATAGATGAAGACAATCCCCGATGGGGGCAGCATCACCAGGACGAGGCTGTCAAGTCAACAGACATTCATGAGATGTGATAGGCTACTACTTACGCGGCAAAGAAGGTTGCAGTGCCAATGTTCTGCAGCGTCGGGGAGATGAACATTAACAGCGAAGCCACCCATAACGCCACCCAGCAGCGAAAGAAGACCTTGAGATCGCGCGCATTGAAATGGTCGAGGAATGCGGGCAGGCGATGTTTTTTCTCGGCCTCGCCATTTTGCGGAGACTGTCCCTGGGACAGGGCCCTTTCGGACATGGTTCAGGCAGAATTGCTGGAGGGGAGATGGGTGGTCCTCACGGTCATGGAGAAGAATGGAGGCACGAGGAAGTTGGAAGCAAAAAGCCAAAGCCAAAGCGGAAGCGGAAGGAAGGGGAGGAAGGGGAGGAAGGTGAAGCGGGGATCCGATGGGATCGGCATCAAGCTTTACCGTGGGGTCTCGGCCTCCTCCCCTGGCGAGATTGTCCATTATTATCGCCCTATGACGTTGCCTTGGGTTATGCGTCTTGGCAAGTATGCATAATTATGCTCTACTTGACACTTACTTGCTGATTATTGTTGTTCTACGGCATTATTGTGCAGATATTCTCTGTATCCTCCTCATATTGTGCGAGATCTCTGCCTAGGAAATAGTTCCATGGAATTCAATAATCCATCGCTAGACTGCGGGTTATACTGCCGCACACCCAATCAAACCACTACCAGAGCCATGTTCCCACAAACTCTGTCTCACTTCAGAATTAGGGTGATTCTAAGATTCTTCTAGGCTAGAGTTAGCGAAACTTCCACTTCGGAGTTGACCCTTTGGCATGTGATGAGGATAATGAAGCCGAACGCAACGGTCTTGGCATTTAAAAGCACAAGGTCATGGTGATAGGCAAGACTACACGCATGCATTGAACAGACATCTCCAAGATTCGATGTCGATAGTTTGTTGCAAATTACTGGGTCATGTTCAGATACAGTACGACTGGGTGAATTTATATACATCTCCCGGCAATTGGTAACGGTCTTATAAGGTGCTAGAGCTCCGTAACCGAAGAAGCCAACATTGGAGCAATATCTCCAAACTTACCTTGTCTTCAACTCCAGGAGCAAAGACTGCTCAAATAAATATCGAGACCAACAGGAAGTGAGTTCAGTATATGCTCACCGGTGTCCCATGTGCCACTGCGGGCTTTGTTCCCATTCCTAGACTCAAGATGGAAGAAAAGGCTGGCAACAGAGAGCCAAACAGAGGCATAGTAGCAGCCTTACTAGTCACCCCTTTAGATATGTCAGGCATAGGAATACCCATGAGGGGCCGATGTTGGGGTTCATCCTGAGATGATAGCTGGGACACATGGCCAGGAGTACCCATAGAAAGCCGAAACGAACTATGTATAGAACACCCGCGCGAAGATATCAACGCAGCCAACCGTGTGCTATTGTAACCGTCGAAAGTGATGAGAGCATGCAGAATGAGGATCTTTATTTAGAAAGGAGAGAGAGCTGAACTATGAAGAGGTGACGAAAGGAGGTTATGTATGGAACCGTACAATACGCCAGACACAGATCACATCAATCATTGGACATCGATCAGGGACAAAAGCTTTGGCAGCGGGGAATGTGACGACGGGGGAGTTTAAGAGACGTAGTTCTATAATTATCTTTCAAAAGAGGAGAAATCTCCTGCGTATCGGCGGAGGGAACAGGCTAAGACGAGAAGCTGCAGTGTGTAGGGCAAGGATGACAACGAGGTGTAGGGCTATCAATGCCTTCAACGATCCAATAGAGACAAAGGATAGGCCAGATGTCGCGCGACGGCATACTGGTAGATGATAAGAATAGAAACGATCTTGATTTTAGTCCTGGTGGTAGTGTGTCCCCGCATATACTTCTATTTTTTGCCTTCCTATGGCGCTTCCTAGCGGATCGCTTGGGGGTCCTGTCTACTCTTTTGGGCAGTGGAAGGATCATGAAACAGACCCATTTAGGTGCAGATATCACCTGAAGGGTGAATATGTGGTTTGATTGGATAAGAAAGGGCGTGTCGCCAGGTAAGTTATGTTCGTCAAGGGCATGTTGTCTTCAGCTTTTGATGCAGGATATAGTCGAATTACCCGAGGCCAGAGTTGTTTCCTCAAGCTCAAGCAAATCCGCAACAATTCATCATGTCAGCGATTAAGAGAAACCAAATAAATAATACAAAAAATAGGAGATGAGATTCTGGATTCTGAAATTCCCGGGCATATATAATCCGTCGTGGTCAGAGAGGACAGATTTGACTGAAGAGGTGAGGTTGATGGGGATCCAAAAATAGCTCTGCACGATCTGCAGCCGCGGGGGTTGTTATTATTAGCCCCCATCCCTGCACCTCCCCATCGGGCTCTTCCAATCAACGACCCCAAACAGAACTTCACCCATGCATGGCGGTCAGACCTCATGTTTCCATCTCTATCACCTTCAACGACCACCAGACTCCATTGGCCGGCCACATACGATCATCTGCCCCAGCGCATCAGTTCCGATGTTGTTTGCTGGCGGTTAGCATGAACAAGGGTCTGTTTCTGTTTTTAGATTGGGCTCATGGGTTCCCCTGCAGCGGATTTATCCCAGCGCGTAAGGTCAGAGCTGTTTGGCTATTGGGAACTAATTTTAGAGCATGATACCATCAACCCACGAGGCCTATGTCTAGGGTGTGGGAGACATCCCATTCCATCTGTGAAGTCGGGGGGGATGTGGTGAGTGAGTTATGAAGTATTGGGAATTAGCTTATGTCCAGCGTATAGATATATCTCTAGTCCGCCAGATCTTTCTCGGATGACGCTTACTTCTCGAGCAATGGCAGTCTCGAGCATCAGGCGCCTGGATCATGTAGGAGACGTGCGTTATACAGACAGCGCTAAGGTTTAGAAGACACATGGGAAGAAACTTCGCTAAATCACAGAGAGCCATGGTACTGCCTCTTGGCAACAAGAGGAGGCGGGTTGTCCTAGTGATGACAATGGAGCGCCAGGGGATGAGTAGTGACGGCGGTTTCATTTTCTGGCAATTGCATCAATCATGTCGAGCTAGTGTGTTTGTACAGCGCAGTTTCTGTCGGTATTGACCCTGAGAGATCGCCAATCTCTCTACGACCGCCGCTAGGAAGCGCCTGCTCTTATGTTCCTACATCAACCTCACTGTAGATGAGACAGCATCCCCCTTTCGAGCAGTTTGATTGGATACCTTGGTCGATAGGCGTTTACCGATACCGGCCACCGGCGGGCTACTCCATGCTAAGTCTTCGCCATGCTTAAATCTGCAGGGACACGTTTGGGATTGGCCCCGCGTCTGGGTCTGATCTGAATGGCAACGGAGGTAGATGGATTGTAGAACCGCGCGCTCTTCATCTGACGGACTGTACATGGCAACGAGTGGGGTTATGGAGGACGTAAACATCGTGGAAGCGCAGAATCAGGGGTAGAAGGATGAGCTCGACTCATGAGGCGCGCGACAATGCTGAAGAATCGTTCCTATGTGGCTATTTTGCTAGACGCCCTCTCCAGTAGATTGACTGGAGAGCTGTATATATTCCGGGCCATTGCTCATCTGCTTTCCGAATCATAATGCATCTTTGATTGTCTTCTCCCATTCTCTTCACTTCTTCATCCTACATTGAGGCATCAGCTGGACTGATTGAACCTCGACAAGAATTGGGTGATCAACTGCGCCCCGCCTGCGCCCAGACCCGTTCGAGATACACGAAGAGGCTGTGCGAAGACGTACAGCCTAGCATCCACGCCTGCGATTCTGTTCGTTTTTGCTCTCAAAGCCCGATAGAATTCTTGTCTAGCTGTATGCGC